TGAGTTCTTCATATATTCTAGGTGTTAATTCTTTGTCAGATAAATAGTTTTCAACTACTTTTTTTTCACTCTGGGATTGTCTCTTTACCTTGTTAGTTGTTTCTTTCACTTTGCAGAAGATTTATAGTTTGATATTCCGTTTGTCTATTTTTGTTCTTACTACCTGTGTTTTTATCGAAAAAAACTCATAAATGAGGCAGAGAAGATCGGAAGGTAGGAACAGCAATTTTGGAGAAAACAAGACATCATAATAGCTAGTGCTGATTTAGTATCATCTTGTTTAGAAGTCCCATCAAATGTGTATTTTTCTGTCTCCATTGGTCTTAAAAGGTTGTATCTTATTGGATTTTATTATATATGATAATATAAGCAAAAACTTTTGTAGACAAGGAGTTCATATAGAAACCATTGTCCATTTTCTGTCAATTAGTTCTAAATACCATGTAATAATGTCATCTTCTTGAATGGTTTTATAGTGTCTTGATATGTTTGGTGCTACAGTATAAGAAGTTATACTCAAAGATTTCAAGGAAAGAGACACTATGGTAACTATTTCTATGTCAGGATATCTTGTGGTGAAACACTATTTTGCTTAAATGATTATGATTTGACCTGCGCTGTTCTGTTGTTATGCCCTTGCATCTCAATCCCCCCCTTTTAAAATTATTTACTTTTTTCTTTTTATTTTTTTAATTAAGGGAAAAATAAATAAAAATAGCAAGATACATTATAGTAACCTACTTTGATTTCCTATTAACTTGATTTGAAATCCTGTATTGCCCTCACCGTCTTGTTTTGACCGATTTTCCTCTATTCTGCTTTGCTTGAGAGTACCAAGTTCGAAAGTTTAGGAATAACTGTGAAGACAATAAGAATCATTATGACGCCCATTCGGGTTGACTATTATTTTCTTTTAAAATCTTGTAATGTCTCCAAAGCTTTGGTTTTATTCTTTACTGTTTAGTTCAATTTTATTATAACTGTCAATTCTTCTTAAGATAGCAAGAGGCAGTATGGTAACCATTGTTGATCACCTTATATTTTGTTTTCTCATTATCTATTATGTCCATCCTTTTGATTTGACTGACTCTGTTCTGGTATGTTGCATTTGGTTTTGCTCTCTTCAAAAAAACTAATAAAAACTGTGGGAGTAATAAGACCCAAAATGTGTAATTGTCATTGTACAAAAGAAAAGAAAGTGCTCTAAAGGTTATAACCGCATATATGTTTAAGTGTGTAAGATAGATAACCATATTACTGAGTGTTTTTTGGATCATTGAACAAAACTGTTTGCACTTTTACTATTTTAAAGTCCACTTTATATGCTTCAAATTTGTAACTTGAACAACTATTTCTAAGATGAGAATACGTAATCTATTAACTAGTGATTTCTTACTGTTTATTTTTAAAATTTTTATTACTGTACCCTTTTTCTGTTTTTTCCCTTATTCTCCTTAAATAAAAAAAACATAAAAAAAGAAAAAAATTCATTGCCTTGAAGTATTCCTTTTTTCCCCCTCAAAAGGTAATTCTGTACCTTTATTCAAACTGCACAAAATGATGCTGTAGGGGAAAAAGACATATTACATCCTTTATAAATCTAAGTGTTTAAAAATGCCAACATTTTACTTTATGATCATAGATAATGTATGTTGAGCTATGCTCTTTACATACCTAATTAGCTGATTTTTAAAAATCATGACAGAATATTTAATTTTTATTTTTAAATCATGACAAAATATTTAATTTTTATCCAATACCTTTTTTCATATTTTGAGTTACTGAAATGATGATATGGCTTTTGTACATAATTCTTTTGTGTGTTTGCAAATGCAGTACTACTCTTGTATTTCTGGAATAAATTCCATTTGATCACGGTATATCATCTTTACGATATGAAATTGGATTGAGTTTGATGGTGTGTTGTTAAGAAAATTTTCATTTATGCTCATCAGGGATATTGGTCTCTAGTTTCGTTTTTTGTTGAGTCTTTGCCTGGGTTTAGTATCCATATAGTATTGACTTCATAGAATGGGTTTGGAAGAGTTACCTCCTTGGGAATTATATTAACAGTTGGACTGCATATCTTCCGGGATCTGAAAGCATGCAAGAGAAAAGCAAGTATTTGTTTACTCTCTGCATACAACTAGAAGTCCACGTGCTGAGATAGTAGCAATGGGTTTGTGAAGTTATTTAGTCACATTTTCAGAGGTGCACTACTTTTCGCTACCAGTTTAGGACCCGTCAGGAAAAGGAATGAATGGATCCTTTGCTGTCAATGGATAGAAGAGCTTTGACCTAGGAAATACACAGCAACAAACTCCATTTTCTGTCTGAGTCCATTTTGCTGTGCTTACAGTTGTCTAAGGAAAGGTGGGACTGAGGTCTCACAGTTCACTGTGTCTTTTTGTTCTTTTGTGCTGAGAAATGCTGGTGGGTTGCCAGTTCTTGGTACTCATCACAGAAAATGATCTTTTAAAAAACTTTGCACCCTTCTTATCATCTTCCTTTTCCACATATGTGATATATTATGCAATCATTTTTGAAATATAGCAAAATATCTGTTGACTCTTGTCCTTTCAGATCTTAGAGTCCACTGGAAAAGACAAAACATAATCACTTAGAAAATAGTGTTAGGAAGCTGAGTGTGGTGGTGCATGCTTGTAATCAATCCCAGCACTCCAGAGGCTGAAATAGGATGGCGGTGAGATTGAGGCCAATGTGGCTGCACAGTGAGCTCAGGGGTAGCCTGAGTTCATGGTGAGACCCTGCCTCAACAATACAAAACAACTAAATAAATTTAGAGTAGAAAAGACATGGTTTCTGGTCATTTAGCAAAGGACTTCTTCATGATGGACACATGCTTAGACCCTCTATCCATTATGTCTCCTTGGTCTCTAGAATAAGACCCCACATTGTTTTTGCTGCTTTTGTAGAGGAATTATTTTAAAAGTATCACTGAATGAAAAGAACATACCCATCCCTCAGTATTTGTGGAAGATCAATTCTAGCAGCCTCAAAGAGTATGAAAAATCTATGAAGGCTCAAGTCTTTTCCTCTAAAATGACATAGTATTTGCAAAAAGCTTACGCATATCCCTTCATGTGCTTTAAACTATTTCTAGATACTTAAAATATTAAAAAATGTAAATTCTATGTAAATAGTTGTTACATTGTATTTCTTAGGGGATAATAACAAGAAAGAAAATCTGTGCATACTTAGTATAGATGCACTATTTTTGTTTTTAGAGTGCATGAATCCACAGATTCAGATAAGGAAAGCCAGCTGTATTTAGTATGAAGCTATTGTAATTTGCTGCTTATATGTTGTCACACTTGGTGGTAGTGATATTATTGGAACAGTTTTGGTTGGTTTCTGTCCTATTGTCATGAGGGATTCCTTGCTTGATTTATATTTTTTTCTTTTTAAAGTGATAAGTAAAAATTGTATGAATGAATGATATTATACAGCATTTCTGTATTTATATGTTATACAACAATGAAGCTATTTAACATGAATATTATGTCATGTTTTTATATTTTTGTGGCAAGACAATTTAAAATCCAATATTAACAATTTTAAAGTACTGAATTACATTTTTTTCTTTTGCCTGACCTTGTTATGGAAGAACTGAAAGGAAAGTGGAAAAAAAGATAAATGAGTAATTGCCAATTCATGGAATGTGCTTGTCATTATACAAGTAATTCCATTAACACAAATACAAATAATTCCATTAATTTATTAAGTTTCACAAACTCATCTTAGTCCAAACAGCTTCAAACAATGCATATAGAGATTTAAAGGAGGCAAATCCACTAGAGAATTAGGGGGAAAGAAAATTAAGGGTAGAAAAATAAGGGGAATCATTGGAGATTGCTGTACAATATACCTGCCCTGAGAACTTTGTATATACCTAGAAGTGATTACAAATCGCACTTGTAGCTCAGACCTCTGACTTCTAGTGCAAAGGAGGAAACATGATTCATTACATAAAATACTTGATGAGGCACAGCCTCATTAGTTCTGGAACCTGGAAGAAAATTCTTCTCTGAGTCTCCATAAAGAAAACTGAAACATTTTGTTCTGGTGGCAGTGAAAAGGGATGACATCCTCTTAAGAAAAACTGTGACCTCACATGAGACCCAGGGCAGCCTGGAGATGAACTGAGGTTGTATCTGTTGGTGGAGCAAATTTGTCACCTTCAGTCTCTAAATACTGTATCTTAACACTTTTGAAACAAACTTCCTAACATTAACTGTTCCTGTCCAATTACAGCATGCAGCTATTATATATGTTTGTTTATTGTTTCTTCTTCTCGTAGATTATAATCTGTGTCAGGACAGGGGTTGTAGATACCTTACTCATTCTTCCATCTCCATGTAACACCTAGTCTGGTATCTGTTATGCACTCAGTAAATATTTATTGAAGGAAGGAAAGAATGGAAAGAACAGGTGGTAAAGTGTACCCCGAAGGAACTTAGTTAATTAGCTCTGCAGAAAGGAATTTTTTTCCTGGTTATACTAGTTAGCTAGCAATAAGAATATTTGGAGTTTGCCTAGATGATTGATCTTATAATAGCTGATAGAAGACATCCTTGTGAATAATTAGGTAGCATCATTTGGCCAGATGTCTCTTGAGTTCACCCCACATGGAAAACATTCAGAGAAGGCTTTATAATTCATATCTTGCCAACGAGAGAACAAGTTTCAGAGAAGTTAAATTAAGGGTTTGTTTTCTAATTAACTAGTAAAAAATGAAAAAAACCTTAATCAGGACTTTTTTCTGAGCTGATCATATGATTTGGATGTGGCATACACACTGACACACACTAGTTAAATGTTGCGCTTTCCTACAATACCCCAGGTGTTCGTGGAAACTAGTTGTATGGCTAACTTTTACTTGCCTCAGTTTCACATGGATTGCTGCCCTTCTTGATGAGAGAACACAAGAATTATTTCCTATGGTGGATGAGTAAGGGCTCTGTCTTCCCATCTTGCAGAGACACAGAGTACAAGGGGCTGCAGCTCTCTCTGGATCAGATCTCAGCTTCCAAACCAGCCTTCTCCTATGCCAGCAGCTCCACCCCCACCATGACTGATAACAGAAAGGGGACCAAGTCGAGGCTTTCCAGCTCAAAGTCAAAATCCAGGACATCCCCTTACCCTCAGGTACGTGTGTTGCCACTTTGTGACTCTCTTTGCTTGTGACCTGGTTTGATCATGAAGTTGAAGAAATATTAAAACTGGAATTAATCATTTGGTTTTAATAAACTGAAAATGTCTATAAATATGGAATGTTTTCTATAACTATCTTTTTCCTTTTAAGTAACTGTGTTAGTAAAAAATTGAAATGATTTTGTGGTTGACTGCCCTCATACAACAGCCATGAGAGTTTAGCTGCCAGAACCAGAATTTGTTCTTTCAAGGACATTGATCCTAAAATTTTCTTCTACATTGGTAAGCCAGAAAGATAGAGTCAACGCAAAAAAATGTGGACTCTTAGGACAGGAACTGAAAAGAGATAGTGGCTACTCACCTCTATATTCCCTCCCCTCTGTTTTTTCTTGAGACAGGGTCTCACAGTGTAGTCTAGGCTGGACTTGAACTCACAGTGATTCTCCTGCCTTGCCCTCTCCAGTGCTGGGATTATAGGAGCACCACCATTCCCAGCTTCCCTGCCATTTTTTACTTTCTTTGAGATAGGGCCTCACTTTGTATTCCAGGCTGGCCTTAAACTTACTATTTAGTCCATGCTGGCCTCAATGTGCAAGAATCCTCTTGCCTCAGCTTTCTGAGTGCTGAGATTGCAGTCTTGTGCCACCACTCCTGGTCCTCTCTTTTTCTTCATTGTTGCTGTATCAAACTATCTGCAGTTCATTGGAGTAAGTAAGATGACTTCTGTGCTATCATAGAACCAAAATGCTTTCTAAGTCATTTATTTATCAAAGTCATCTTTGTTACTTATGTTTGAATTTTAAGTAAAAACACAATCTAATGGGTATAAAAATGATTATATCTTTACCTGTCAGCTCTAGGCTAATATTTTGATATCTTCAAATATATACTATTTGAGGAAATGTTATTCACTGACCCATTAGTCAATAAAAAGCTATTATTTGCTAGATTATTTTAGAGCCTAGGTATCTGAAAGGGAGAAGACTATGATCTCTGCCTCCTAAAGACTTAGATCATATGGCTTGAAGTCCTCCACAGAAGAACAGGTTTCCTTACTTTGACAAAAGGGAAGAGAATAATTGTGTGAAGCCTAGTTGTTTTTCAGAGTGCATCTTCTCTTAGGAGTGCCGAGTACTTTTGTTAGGAAGTGTAGAATGTAGTCAGAGTCACTGCCGATGGGCAGCTGCTTCCTTCTAGAGAACATCTAAAGAAATACTTTTCCTATTATTGTCTTGTACCTTGGGAAGAGAATTTTACTGTCTCTTTTTACTGTTTAGAAGGATGGATTTTGCCTTTGGGTAGTTCTTGTTCTTAAGTATATAGCAGTGTTGGACACATAGATGAAAGAAGAATTTAAATTAGGAAATACTAAATTAAGAAGAAGTTTGTCCTTTGTTTCCCAGAAATTAAGCCATAAAAACAAAATCTTCCTGTTGGACCTCTAAAACCTTATTATTTAGTCTATTTTGTTTTATGCTCTGCTCTTAACATCTAAAATTTCTATTAGTTCAGTTTTACAGTAAACGAATCATCTGAAAAAAGTTTTAACTTTAGACTACTCTAATGTGTGTGGAGTTAATCTAAATGTTACATATGTTTTGTAGTGCACAAATAATGCAGAAGAGTGGAAAGCAGAAAAAATCCCTCTTTATTTCTCATTTTCCTTTTCAAAATTGTACTTGCTTCTACTGTGTTTTATTGTGTATAAAAAACACACATACGTATACACATGTTCACATAGGATTTCTTGAAGTCTGTGTATTTTATCTTTGTGGTTAATACATACATAAACATAGCCCTTGGAATTTTGACTATGTGCCTCATTTGACATAGCACAGTCACAGGTTGAATTTATTTAACATTTATTTTTGTGGTAAAGGTTATTCTTTAGTTGTGTTTATTTTAGATAATCATGGTATTAGATCAATCACTGACTGACTTCCTGCTCTGTGGGCTGCATGCCGATAGAAACAGAGCACATTTTCTTCACCTCTGAGGAGCTATTGGTATGGACAGAGAGGTGAACAGGTATTGGCAATGTAACGTGATGGGGTGAGATGATAGTCTGGGGCTTTGTTGGAAAAGACTCACCCACAGCAAACTCATGGCTGTCATTGCTAGAAGAAAACCATTACAAATACATCCACATCGTGTTCTGAATTCTCAGAAATTTTCAAGAAAATAATTAGTGTCTTAAAATACTTTTGATTAAAATTGTCCTTCTGCCATGAAAAAGTAAGTTTTCATTTTCATGATTCCTTGCTCTTATATGTCTTTGACTCAGCAGATGCTAGAGGAGTATCTGCTTCTGAAAGATGCTGGTGTTGTCACTGTGGAGGATGCGTGGTGTGAGTTATATAAAAGGTGCTGACATACAAATACATGGTGTACAGAGTGTGCAAGTTTTGTAGTACAGTCAAAGTGGGAAATCACATGGTAGAATAAACAGGGTATAAGGGTTGATATATACAAAGAACTTTGTGAATGATATCAGTGTCATGGACTATGGCCTGGCTAAAGAAAGTATATAATCTGGCTTGGAGTTTAGGAGTCAGGTGTATGGGAAGAAGCAAAAGGAATGGACCCTTCAGGAAGATTGAAATTATGAGGAAAGGCAGAAAATCAGTGTGATTGGGCCTGGGAAGTGGAGAGTGGGATGATTGGTCTTTCTGGATGAAGAATATGAATGATAAGCTTGGAAACAAATTGGTGCCAAATACATGCCAGGCCAAGAAACTTAGAGTCTATCTTGTAGAGAACTAACAAAGATTTGAACAAAATAAATTGAGGCAAGAGAAACTATTTAGGGAAGTAATTTTAATAGTTCTTGTGTGAGTATATGAAGAACTAAACTAAATTTCATTGCTGAGGTGAAAGATACTATAGAGGGAGAATGGATAACATTCTTTTTATTCTTGGTAACTCTTCTGGTAATAGATATATCTTGATCATTATAGATTTACTCCAAAATTATACCTTTAGAGCTTACCTCAGCAAAATAAACTTTGAATTTCTGCATTTATATATGCATAGTACTTTCCTTTTTAGTGACACAGTGATGATTTTAATTGTATTTAATTTTCAGTACTTCTGACCATTATTCCAAAGTGATGTTTTCTTTTTTATTTCTGTATCTCCATATTTTAATATACAAATGCTAATCAGATTCTTTAAGAGGAAGTTTGTAGAGCAAAATTAATCTCATAGAGTAACTTCTTATGTTATTATTAATAAAGTAAATGGTAATTTAATAATATTAATGAATATTATTTATTGAGCTCTTCATTCTATTTCCAGTATATATAGAAATCTATAATATCTGATGAATGACAAACAGCAGCACTATGCTTTGGACTTATTTGATATCCTTATATGAATATCCAAGACAAGTACAAATTAGAGTTCAGTACTTCTTCCTGACGGTCTAGAATAGTAGATGAACCTTCAGGTCCCTTCTTGGTATGAGGTATCCTAGGGAATGATTTTAGACTTGATTATATATGGCTACTTAATGAATAACTCAATCACTTTTGTACTTCTGTGTATTACTTGGGACATCAGAGGTCAAAAGGGAATTTTATTGAATAATTGTGGAAGAACTGTTATAAGAAATATTATAATTAATTCCAAAAGATTTTGTGCATAGCTACTGGGCTGCTGTACAGCAGAAATATTACTATTATGGCAGCTGTATTTTATTGTCACTGGATTTTTCCTCATGAAAATGGAAACATTTTTTTATAGGTTCATTGAATTAGAACTATTGCATTTACGGAATTTATTTTTCCAACCTTATCTGTTTGAAAGTGCTATAATATTTTCAACCTATTTTTATGTAACTAATCATGGGTCTTTAATACCAGTTGGAAGTTATTTTGATATGTTTTAATCATGCCACTCATGAATAAATTGCTTCCTGATTTTGGAGTTTCCATTGAAGAATTTTTGTGTCGGCATATTCATAGCCACATTTAATAGAGACAATACCACTCCACTAAGTTGTAGCCTCCTACAGTCTTATGGCCTTGCCTACTAATCAGCTGTAGCCAGTACATTGTGTCATATCCTATAACAGCCTATAAATAAGACTGTGCATGCTTCAGAAATCTGAAAGTAATCCCTAATTGCCGATAGACAGTAACACTTGCATGTTTATATCACATCTGCTGTCTTAAAGGATATTACAGAGCCTTCTTAATGTTCATTGCCACACATCTGTCTTCTGTAGGTGAGGATACAAGTTCTCTTTCCACAAAGCTTCTTTCTGGCTTCAAAAATATAACACTGAAAACTTGATTTTCTAAGTTGCAGAGAAAAGAAGGGTCAATAATTTCTCAAACATAGTTCTACCTTTATATTATGATGATTATAGTTATCCATCCATTTCTTGTTTTGTGTATAACATGAAAACATGTAATCTTTGACTGTACATAACAAAAAATACACCTTTTATACATTTTGCAAAAAGAACAAAAAAGATTTTGCCAAGAAGTCCTTTACACAAGCTTCTAAAATATGGCCATATAAAAATTTGGGATGAATTTCTGTTTCAAATTAAGAGAGAAAACACTTTTGGTCTTTTTAAATTTCTGAATATCACTTTAGCAAAACATATTTTCACAGTCCATAAGACTGTTTTATGCTTCCGCTTTGCCCTTTCTCTCTCTCTCTCTCTCTCTCTCTCTCTCTCTCTCTCTCTCTCTCTTTCTCTCTCTCTTCCTTCCTTTCCTTCATATTTTCTTTCCTTCTTTCTTCAACATGGTATTGCTATACAGTTCATGTTGGTCTGGAATTCATTATGATCCAGGTTGGCCTTGACCTTTCTGTGATCCTCTTGCTTCAGCCTCCAGAGTGGTGGGATTAGAGGCATGTAATACTGTACCTGGATTGTACTTCTTTTTTTTTTTTTTACCTAACTTTTGCATTTAATTAAATACTTATGATGTTTAGTGGCCTGTTTTGGGAGGCAAAATTAACATTTTAGAAAGGAATTA